TATAAATGTGACCTTATTTAAAAGTACGGTCTTTGCAGATATAATTAAGCTACGGATCTCGAGATAAGACCATCCTGGATTTAAGGTGTGTCCTAAATCCAGTGAGTGGTGTCCTTATAAGAGAAAGGAGAGAAAGATTTGAGATGGAAACACAGAGAAGGGCATATAAAGACAGAGGCAAAGACTGGAGTTACATGGCTCCAAGCCAAGGAATGCCTGGAGCTACCAGAAGCTGGAAGAAACAAGAAAGGATTCTGCCCTAACTTCTTCAGGGAATGTGGCCCTGCAAGAACCTTGATTTGGGACTTCTGGTCTCCGGAACTATGAGACAATAAATTTCTGTTGTTTTAATTCACAAAAGTTTGTGGTAATTTGCTATGGCAGTCATAGGAAACTAATATAGTGTTGGTGGTGAAAATGATTTTTTTCCCTTCCAATATTCAGTGCAAGGGTAATGTGGGACAGAGTTGTTTTTGAGCTCCCTCATTGGATTGACCCCAGGGCCTACTTTACATTCCCCTGAGCCATTTCCCATATTTTCCTGTCTTCCTCCATTTCCATGTGCATTGTCAGTTCAGGTCTTCAAAACTGTACTCCCACATCACTGCAGTCCTTCCTAGCTTGTTTTCTTGCTTTATCCATCTTCATCTAATTGTCCTACCAATTACATCTATCTAAATTCATTTATCTAAAGTGATCCAATACTACCTATCCAGTCAAATGCTTAAAAAATCTGTTGTGCATAGATGGGTCAAAGATAAACTTTAATCAATCCTAAATTTAACTCAGGTTCTTTCCTCTGTTTACGTATCTCTTCCTATCTTTACCTAATAAAAGCTTCACAAATGCCAGACAAGTAAATGAGTAAAGCTGGATTGGAGTTTGAATTTTAAACACTTTGGAATATTCTTCAATTCCACAGTGTAATATTTTCTCTCCCAATTTTCTTGCACACATGGCCCTCTCATTCTACTTAAAAAAATTCCTATCGTTGCCACAGACATGGATAGAGAATAATTTGCTACTACAAGAAATACAATGATGTAGACACAGTGACATCCAGTCTCAGAACTGTGGAGTCATAGGGAATGGTGCAGCAACCCTGTCCAAAGGGTAACCACTATTCAGCTCAGAAAATTGGCATCATATGTTGCTGTTGCCAGAACTTCTGATTATTTTAGATAAGCCATAAATTCTGATTTTATTGTTTAAATGTCGACTCATTCTTTTTTTTAAACATCGTGGAAGCCAAACAAGACAAGTCTGTAGGGCAGATGTGTCCTGCTGATCACCTGTTTGTAATCTCTGCTTTTAACATCTTCCCATCTTTTCCTTTTGTCACACCAAGACACACTGATTTCATTTACTTTAACCTCTTTAATAATAATCTCTGTATGCTGACCTCTAGCACTTAACAAAAGAATGCTTTTCAGGGACTTGATTTTTTTGAGTCTCAAGAACTGGGTTCTTATCTAAACCCAGCCACTAAGGAGCCATGTTACGCAGGTTTCCAAATTTTCAGTTTCTTTATCTCTACAGTAGGGTCACTGTTAACACTTGCTTTTCAGGTTTGCACTGAAGCTTTGGCCCAGAATGCTAGAACTAGTGAAAGCATTTAGTGGATGAAGAAATAAATTCTTCTTCTTGCAGATGAAGAAACTGAGGCTCCAGGTGGGGAAGAGGCTTGATCCCCAAAGACACGTGACTAGTTTGAGCTGGGCAACTAATTGATTAATTAATTTTAAAACTTTTATTTTGAAGTAATTTTAGATTCACTAAATAGTTGTATAAATATATCTGAGTTCCTGTATATCCTTCACTCAGCTTTTCCAAATATTAACAGCTTACTTAAAAATCAGAAAACCAAACCCGTTGCTGTCGAGTCGATTCCAACCCATAGTGACCCTACAGGACAGAGTAGAATTGTCCCATAGGGTTTCCAAGGAGTGCCTGGTGGACTGGAACATGCTGACCTTTTGATTAGCAGCCAATCTCTTAACCACTGTGCCACCAGGGCTCCAACATCTTACTTAACCCTAATAAAATGATGGAAACAAGGAAACTCAAACTGATATAATATTATTAAATAATCTACGGACCTTATTCGAATTTCACAAATTGTTCCACTAATGTCCTTTCTCTGGTCTAGGATCCATTCTAGGATCCTGTTCTCAATATTTATATTTACTTATTTGCTCCTTTTGTTGTTTCAGAATTAGTAATCACACTCTAAATAGGGTACAATATTTGTATATAGTTCTTTTTGTCGTTAGTTACAGTATATAGTCCAAATGCTGTTTTCCATTGTTACTTAGATTGGTTATTTTATTTCCCACCCTCTAAGTATAATTATATTTCATCTTGGGTTTCTCCCACATCTTGGTTGATTTTAATTATTGATTTATTTTGAGGGAGCTGAAATATTACCATGCATCTAAGAGTTAGAACTATACAAAGGGTTTACTCAGAGAAAGGTCACTTTTATTCTGTCCACCTGTTCTTACTTAACCCCGTGTGTTACTAATTTTATTAGTTTCTGACTTTCCCTCTCCATATATCTTTTTGTATAAAAGAGCACATAATACATATTTTTTTATATCCCCTCTTTCTTACATGAAAGATGGCATACTATAGCTACTCTTTAATACTCTGCTTTTTCTCTCTCTTAATATATCCTGGAAATCTTTCCAGATCAATTCACAGAGAGCTTCCTCATTCCTTTGTACAGCTATATAGCATTCCACTGTGTCATGCACCATGTTGTTGTTGTTGGGTGCCATCAAGGCAGTTCTGACTCACAGTGACCCTGTGTGCAATAGAATGAAACACTGCCCGGTCCTGTGCCATCATCACAATCGTTGCAATGCTTGAGCCCATTGTTGCAGCCACGGTGTCAATCCATCTTGTTGAGGGTCTTCCTCTTTTTCGCTGACCCTCTGCTTTACCAAGTTTGATGTCCTTTGCCAGGGACAGGTCCCTTCTGATAACATGTCTAAAGTATGTGAGGCATAGTCTCACCATCCTTGCTTCTAAGGAGCACTCTGGCTGTACTTCTTCCAAGACAGATTTGTTCGTTTTTCTGGCAGTCTATGGTATATTCAATATATACCATGTGTACCATAGTTTAGTCAATAACTCTCCTATTTATGGACATTTATAAATTACAAACAATGCTGCAATAAATAATCTTGTATATATGTATTTTCATATTGGGGGCATATCTAGGAGTAACATTTACATCTCCTGATGTCTGCTCCAATTCTCGTTTGAATTAAATGATGTAATATAATTAGGAGATCTTTGCAAAATTAAAAAATATCATATAAATATAGCAAAATACTACTATTTACTAGTATTGTTTTACTTTATCTAATCTGATTGTAACTTCTTTTGAGATAGGCAGTTCAATTCAACAAATATTTGTCCTCACCTACTAAACCAGAAGGTTAATTTTGACAATTTCCCTGTGTGTTGAAATTCTAACCTTTCCAATCACATCTTCATTCATTAGGAATGTTACGATATTTACTAGTTTTTATTCAAAAATTGAATTTATTCCAGTACAACTAGATGGTGCCCGGCTACCACCACTGACTTCTCTGACCGGGATTATAACAGAGGGTCCAGGACAGAGCTGAAGAAAAATGTAGAACAAAATTCTAACTCACAAAAAAAGACCAGACTTACTGGACCGACAGAGACTGGAGAAACCCCGAGAGTATGGCCCCCCGATACCCTTCTAGCTCAGTAATGAAGTCACTCCTGAGGTTCATCCTTCAGCCAAAGATTAGACAGCCCCATAAAACAAAACAAGATTAATAGGGCACAAGAGTCTAGGGACAAGGACTAGAAGGCAGGAGGGGACAGGAAGCTGGTAATAGGGAACCCAAGGTTGAGAAGGGACAGTGTTGACATGTCATGGGGTTGTTAACCATTGTCATAAAACAATATGTGTATTAACTGTTTAATGAGAAAGTATTTGTTCTGTAAACCTTTATCTAAAGTACAATAAAAAATAAAAAAATTGTATTTATTATTTATACAGTTTCTTCTCATAAAAAACTCACTATCAAATTGTTTTCTCTACTGTATCCTTATAGAGACAGGAGACAGAAATTAAAAACTGCAGCCCTAATCTGATTCCTTCCACTTTCTTAAGTATGAATGTCAATAGGGTGAGAGGAGAAAAACAGGATCATAGGCTGAATGACCCCAGGTTATCTGAGAATGAGTTAGGATAGGTTTCAGGCTCTCCTTCCACCTAGTAGGAAGCATTACACCCCAGATCAGCTTCCTTTGGGATGGGGCCCTCCAGGTCTCCAGGTCCAGTGCAACTGGTATTTCAAAATGTGCAAGGGATGCTACACATTCTATTTAGGGTTTATACCTAGTACTGATTCTAGCCGAGCTTCAAGGAATCCTCCTTGTGGCCCAAGCTAGTTCATTAGGAGATTGCCGTTGGATTTGGAATATAGGTACTGAACGGTATTTGCCTTGTCTTTTCTTTCTAATAACCTATAAAGACCTAAATTGAATCCACCATGAAGCTACTGCCCGCTCCAAGAAAGTCTCAGATAATCATTTGCAGGAAATCTCCAAAGTTTCGTTGAGATAGTAGTCCTGGATTGTGCAATTTCAGCAGATTCAACTGACCAAACCTATGCAATGAGAAGAAGTTAGGACCTACAAAAAGTTGACTTCAAATATATGCATCATCTGCTTGACCAATTGTGTCACTGTCATATGTAATGCAGAGCCAGATTTGTTAACAGTTTGGTATGGACCCTGTAGCCTGGGTTGGGAATTGTTCAGTTTCAGAACTTTCATCAAAACCTCTTCCTCTATGGTATAAGGAGTCAAGTCATGTTTCAAACCCTGTCTTTGAACCTAATCTTCTAAAAATTATAATATTATAATTTATTTAAGTTAAGCAACCATAAGGAAAACAAAGTTTGTCACTATCACATTAGAAAAAAGTTCTAATGTGAAATTATTATTACCTCCTCGATCTCGGGCAGCTAAACTTTGACCCCTTCTTAATGTAATGTCCAACTGGTACATTCCGGGATCAGCCAAAGGAACATCTGCATTACTGGTTCCAGCGATATTTATTTTCTGGAAAACAAGAAATATACAAAATATTAAATTAATTTCATTGCTCTGTTTCCTCCGATGGCCAACCATCTGGAGTTTAACCCAAACAGTAAGAATCAGTCAATAAAATAAATAATCTATCTCGTGATTTCACACAATACCATAATCACCTGATTATCTAGGCTTTTGAAATTCATGAAATTCTTTAGGTTCAAAATAGACAAATGGTAGTTATAGGAATTTTATGTTTTAACTCAGATGAGGCATAACAAATGTAATATGAAAAACCTTGTCCATGAAAAGCTCCTTATAATTCATCTGAGAAAGGCTAACAAAGGAGTAGTGTCTGAAGTAAAAAACACAATCGATGAAGAATGATGAATACAAGTGTGCGAGAACAGTTGATTTTCCACATAACCAAAAGTGAAAATTAAAATGACTTATTCAGAAGACATTGTTGACTCATTTATCTATGCGAAATGGCTGATACTGTGGGATTACACACTTCTGTTTTGGCCCCTAACATAAAATATGATATAATTATACAGAAGTAAACTCACCTAGCATTTTGAAAGCATTTGCAAGAAATAAATTCTCAATGGGGCTAAATTTCTAATGCTGTTTTGTATGGAATAAGAGTACACAATCTATTTCTAGAGCTAAAAACCTCTCAAGGCTGCCTGTATAGAATATCTTTAGCAACGATTTACTCTGTTATTAATTTCCCGGGATTGAGTTACAAATGCACCTGCAAGATGAATAAACTATATTAAATCAACACAAAAGATACATATAATAAAAATCATACAATTCATATTTTATAGTCTCTACCACTTCATATTGTACAGGAAAGCTTACTTTTCTTTAGATGTTTGAGGTAATTTTAAATTCTTTCCTTATAATTACTTTTTCCAATCCAAAAAGAAATATTCCCTTGTTTTGGAATAATATGCATGGATTAGGTAAAACAATAGGCAACAATCTGGCTCTTTCATTTCTATAATTCCCATGAAATACAACTATAAAGCAGAAAATTTTAAAACATCTTTATTTTGATATAATTTGCCCATTTTATGCAGTATTTTTTTAAGTTTCAAGACCAACATAAGAAGCTTTCCCATAGGATCAGTACTATTTAAAATAAGAAGCAGCGTAATTTTGAATGATAAAAGGACCTCATCATCTCTCCTCAGGGAACAATAAAAAACAATCACGTCTCTTCTTCATGATATCATTGTTTCTATGAATGGTGGCCCTGTCCCCCTAGTCACTCAGGCTAGAAATCACCGAGACATCCTTGACTTTATTTCCCTCTCACCCACATACAAATAGTTGCCAAATCACATCCACTCTATTTCTGTATTATGTCTCCCAATTGTCTTTTTTCTTTAATTTCTATTACCACTGATTTGGATCAGGCCTTCATACAACAGAAAAATAAAATAATTTTCTTGCTTTTCTCCCATCTATCAAATTCCTCCGGCTCCTTGAGGTGCCGATGATAACAATTTAGGGTATATCCTTCCAAACTTTGAATGCACATATAAGTTTGTTTTTCTGTGTTTGGGTTTTTAGTGTTTGTCTTTAGCTTAAGAAAAACAACATGGGAATTTTTTTCTAATCAATACATACATATATATATTTTATTTTTGAGGCATATAATTTTTCACAGTATGGATATACCATGATTTTTTCACTTATTCCCCTGCTGATGAACATTTGGGTTGCTTTCAGTGTTTGCTACTATAAACGCTGGTGCTTTTATTTCTGTAAAATGAAAGGCTTAAACAGTTCATACTCCTTCCAAAAACATATGAGTCTGTTTCTCACAGCCTAGTCGGCATCGGATGTTACTAACTATCCTAATTTTTTCCAAGTTTGGTGGGTAAAATATGTTATCTTCCTTCAATACACATTTCTGGAACTATGGTAAGGTGTCTTGAAACCAGGGTAAAGGGCAAGAGAGTAACACTTGTTCACTGGGTCGCACAGAAAATGCCAACTTGGAAAGACAGGAAGCCAGCCAAAGTCTACTAAGCAACTGTTAAAAGAACAGTGTGGAAGACTAGTCCAAAGGACTAATGGACCACAACTACCATACCCTCCACCAGACTGAGCCCAGAACAAGTAGATGCTGCCCGGTTACCACCACCGACTGCTCTAGCAAGGATCACAATAGAAGGTCCCGGGCACAGTGGGAGAAAAATGTAGAACAAAATTCAAATTCACCAAAAAACAAACAAACAAAAAAAAAACAGCCTTGCTGGTCTGATAGAAACTGGCAAAACCCCGAAAGTATGACCTTCGAACACCTTTTTATGTCAGTACTGAAGTCACTCCTGAGGTTTACCCTTCAGTCAAAGATTAGACAGATCAATAGGATCAACAATAACACACATGGGGAATGGGCTTTGTAGTTCAATTCATGCATAGGAGATTAATGGACGCACCAGCCCAAAAGCAAAGGCGAGAAGGCAGGAAGGGACAGGAAAACTGGATGAATGGAAATAGGGAATCCAGAGCGGAGAAAGGGAGACTGTTGACGCATTGCAGGATTGGCAACCAATGTCACAAAACAATTTGTGTTAACTGTTTTATTAAGAAGCTAATTTTCTCTGTAAACTTTCACCTAAAGCACGATTTAAAAAAAAAGAAGAGTGTGTACGGTATGAGGGTCTAATTAAGCAAGATTCAAATTTAAATCCAACAAAAATTTATTAAGCTCCAACTATTCTCCAGCCATCAAAAAAAAAAAAAAAAAGAAAGAAGAAAGAAGGCCCAAAGTCCATTAACTGGGGAAAAGACAGTCTCTTTAACAAATGATGTTGGCATAACTGGATATCCATCTGCAAAACACTGAAACAAGACCCATACCTCACACCATGCACAAAAACTAACTCTAAATGGATCAAAACCTAACTACAAAATCAAAAATGAAAAAGATCATGGAAGAAAAAATAGGGACAATGCTAGGAGCCCTAATACACGGCATAAACAGAATACGAACAATAAGTAACAATGCACAAGCACCAGAAGACAGACTAGATAACTGGGAGCTCCTAAAAATCAAACACTTATGTTCATCAAAAGACTTCATCAAAAGAGTAAACAGACAACCTACAGACTGGGAAAAAATTTTTGGCTACGACAAATCCAATCAGTGTCTAATCTCTAAAATTTACAAGATACTGCAAAACCTCTACAACAAAAAGACAAATAACACAATTAAAAAATGGGTAAAGGATATGAACAGGCACTTCATCAAAGAAGATATTCAGGCGGCTAACAGACATATGAAGAAATGCTCAAGATCATTAGTCATTAAAGAAAGGCAGATCAAAACTACAATGAAATATCATCTCACCCCAACAAGGCTAGCATTAATCCAAAAAACACAAAATAATAAATGTTGGAGAGTTTGTGGAGAGACTGGAACACTTATACACTGTTG